TATCATCACCACACCCCAGATGACAAAAGATATGCTTATTTTCCCACTGGGCCTTCAAATAGTACCCATATCATTCCATCACCCTCTGTCACCTTCCAATACAAGTTATCTGGAATTATACTCCACAATCTGAAATTGTCTGCATGGATGGCTGCAATGGTGGCACCTTAGTTTCCTGAAATTTCGATGTACACAAACTTTGTTTCAGGCACAAATTTGTTACAAACTGTGTGTATAAAATTGCCTTTGTAAATTAAGCCCCTTCCACGTAGCTGAATAAAATTCCACATTTTCTTCTTTGAACTGGAATATATGGCAATGTGGACTCAGGTATCCTAGTACAAAGCAGATATTATGGGATTTTCTGCCTTGATATTCTGCAGATTTTTGTTTTTGGCTGTGTGGAAGAGCCCTAAGATGTATATGAAACAAATGAGTTTATTTAGTCTTGGGTGCCATCTTTAAGACATTTCACTGTGTATGCAAATTTTACAAAATCTGAGAGAGGGGAGGAGAATCCAAAATACTTCTCATCCCAAGCATTTTGGATAAGGGATGCTCAACATGTATCATCTCTGTTTCCCAATTGACAATTGATATGCTCCTTTTTCCACTGCTCCTTCAAATTTTCCCCACACTATTCCTTGCAACCCCCATAAATTGGTACAGCTATTGTCAACTTCAGCTGATGAGCCAACTTCAGCTGATGAACCTCCATAGTAGAATGAATGCAGTTTGACATCCCTGTAATTGCAATTGCTCAAAGTTTTGGAATCCTGGGAGTTGGAGATTTGAAAGCTCTTCAGCCTCCTCTGCAAAAGAGTCATGGTGCCTCATCAAAGACCAGCTCCCATGATTCCATAGCAGTGCGATGGCAGTTGAAGTGGTGTCAAACTACATTCACTCTACAGTGTAGATGCATGTCAGAGATTCCCTTACATGGATCCTCTCTTTCCCGTGGAGAACACCCAAAACCTCCAGCTCAAAGAATCAATTAGGAGTCCATCTCCTTCAGTGCAAGATCTGTCAACGATTAACCTTGGGGGCAGATGAAGTGGGCTGTGTATCCACACCACACACGGGCAAACTTTGGCCCTCCATTTGTTTTGGATTTCAACTCCCACAATTCCTGACAGCCTTGTATTAAGTATATTGAGCCCCCGGTGGTGCAGTGGGTTAAACCCTTGTGCCGGCAGGCCGGCTGAGCAATAGGTCAGTGGTTCGAATCCAGAGAGAGTGGGTTGAGCTCCTTCTGTCAGCTCCAGCTTTCCATGCGGGGCATGAGAGAAGCCTTCCACAAGGATGGTAAAACATCAAACATCCAGGCATTTTTTTGGGCAGCATCCTTGCTGACAGCCAATTCTTTCACACAAGAAGCAATTTGCAGTTTCTCAAGTTGCTCCCAACACAAAAAAATTGAGTACATCTAATACTCAACTAACAGACATCTACTGAGTATATCTAATATGGGTATGAGCAACTTCAGACCTCTAGGTATTTTGGACTTCAACCAAAACACTTGGAAGGCCGAAGTTTGCCAATGCTTTATCTACACTGCAGAATGAATGTAGTCTACTTTACCTACCACCTCTTAGGCCCCTTTCACACAGCAGAATGAAATCCCACATTATCTGCTTTGAACTGGAATATATGGCAGTGTGAACTGGGGCCCCTTCCACAGGCTGAATAAAATGCCACATTATCTGGTTTGAACTGAGATACATGGGAGTGTGGACTCAGATATTCCCGTTCAAAGCCAATATTGTAGGTTATTCTGCATTGATATTCTGGGTTATATGGCTATGTATATGGCCCTCAGATAACCCAGTTTAAAGCTGATCTTGAGGGTGTGAAAGGGCTCTTATGCCCCATCTACACTGACCACTGAATGAAATTCGAGGTTGGCTTCAAACTGCACCACCCAAACAAACATGTGCAAAAGAAAGCCTTTAATGTGCATCAGCACTCTGTGGTTTGTGTAATCACCGTGGAGGCCTCAAATTGGTTCCAGGATTTCCTATGTAATCATCTCCACAGCTAAACCACTTTCAACACGAAATGGTCAGTGCATAATTTCAGGCAGGGGCAACTTTCGTGCCTCCAGGTGCTTTTGGACTTCAACTCCCACAATTACTAACAAGTTAGAAATTGTGAGAGTTAAAGTCCAAAACACCCGGAGGGCAAAGGTTGCTCATTATTGTTGTAGATGTCCTTCCTGTTCTACAGAATGGTACAGTTTGGTGAGTCATTAGACCAGTGGTTTTCAACCTATGGATTCCAAGATATTTTGGCCTACACTCCCAGAAATCCCAGCCAGTTTACCAGCAGTTAGGATTTCTGGGAGTTGAAAGACAAAACATCTGGTGACCCACAAGTAAAGGATCACTGCATTAGACCTTGTAAACTAGGCATGGGCAACCTTTGGGCCTCCAGGTGTTTTGGACTTCAACTCCCACAATTGTATGGAATTGTGACAGTTGAAGTCCAAAACACCTGGAGGACCAAAGGTTGTCCACGCCTAGTGTAAATGTACAAGACCAATTATTCCTGGTCATTGAGCCATAGCGGCTCAAGCAGTGTCAAGCCGTATCCATTCCACAGTGCAGACGCGCCCAAGGAGAGGAGGGCTGTCCCGGCCAGGCGCCTTCGCTCTGACTTGCATTAGACCTTGCAAATTTATTTATTTTACGTTATTTATATACCGTTTTTTTCAGCCCTCAGGCGACTCAAAGCGCTGTTAGGAATTGTGGGAGTTGAAGTCCAAAACACCTGGAGGGCCAAAGGTTGTCCACACCTAGTGTAAACATACAAAACCAATGATTCCTGGTCATTGAGCCATAGCAGCTCAAGCAGTGTCAAGCCCTATCCATTTCACAGTGCAGATGCGCCCAGGTAGAAGAGAGCTGTCCTGGCCAGAGGCCTTCACTCTGGCCTGCATTAGACCTTGCAAACTAAGCACCCGCGGCAAATAACAACAAGGCCCTCTACACTCTGGACACAAGCACAGATGAACACACAACACAAAAGCCATCTGTTATACTCTATAGCAGGCATGGTGAAACTTTGCCCCTCCAGTTGTTTTGGACTTCAACTCTCACAATTCCAAACAGCCTACCTACCGGCTGCTAGGAATTGTGGGAGTTTAAGTCCAAAACAACTGGAGGCCCAAAGTTTGCCTATGTCTGCTCTATAGGTTATATTTACAAGTCCTCCATAGGTATGTTCTCAGGTCTCAAAATACGGCAAACAAATTAAGTTTGGCTTGTAACACTCTGCTTCAACTTGGCTCACCTCATAAGGCTGGGGCTCACCCCATTTAGCCCCCAGACTAACGGGAGAGGAGGGCTGTCCCTGGAACTGCGAGGCCCAGAGCCTTCGCGTGGATTCAAGTGTTGTAAGCCATGCTAACTCGATTCTTGTCACTTTACACTAGGTGTGAGCAACCTTTGTCCCTCCAGATGTTTTGGACTTCAACTCCCACAATTCCTAACAGCCGACAGGCTGTTTGGAATTGTGGGAGTTGAAGTCCAAAACACCTGGAGGGACAAAGGTTGCGCACACCTAGTGTAAACGTACAAAACTAATTATTCCTGGTCAGTGAGCCATAGCAGCTCAAGCGGTGTCAAGCTCTGGCCTGCATTAGACCTTGCAAACTAGGCATGGGCAACCTTTGGTTCTCCAGGTGTTTTGGACTTCAACTCCCACAATTCCTAACAGCCGAATTGTGGGAGCTGAAGTCCAAAACATCTGGAGGGACAAAGGTTGCTCACACCTAGTGTAAATGTACAAAACTAATTATTCCTGGTGATTGAGCCATAGCAGCTCAAGCGGTGTCAAGCCATAGCCTTCACTGTCGACTATATTAGACCTTGCAAACTAGGCATGGGCAACCTTTGGCCCTCCAGGTGTTTTGGACTTCAACTCCCACAATTCCTAGGAATTGCCACGCCTAGTGTAAACCTACAAAACCAATGATTCCTGGTCATTGAGCCATAGCAGCTCAAGTGGTGTCAAGCTCTGGCCTGCATTAGACCTTGCAAACTAGGCATGGGCAACCTTTGGTCCTCCAGGTGTTTTGGACTTCAACTCCTACAATTCCTAACAGCCGAATCGTGGGAGCTGAAGTCCAAAACACCTGGAGGGCCAAAGGTTGCTCACGCCTAGTGTAAACATACAAACCCAATGATTCCAGGGCATTGAGCCATAGCAGCTCAAACAGTGTCAAGCCATAGTCTTTGCTCTGGCCTGCATTAGACCTTGCAAACTAGGCATGGGCAACCTTTGGCCCTCCAGGTGTTTTGGACTTCAACTCCTACAATTCCTAACAGCCGAATTGTGGGAGCTGAAGTCCAAAACACCTGGAGGACCAAAGGTTGCTCATGCCTAGTGTAAACCTACAAAACCAATGATTCCTGGTCAGTGAGCCATAGCAGCTCAAGCGGTGTCAAGCTCTGGCCTGCATTAGACCTTGCAAACTAGGCATGGGCAACCTTTGGTTCTCCAGGTGTTTTGGACTTCAACTCCCACAATTCCTAACAGCCGAATTGTGGGAGCTGAAGTCCAAAACACCTGGAGGACCAAAGGTTGCCCATGCCTAGTGTAAACGTAGAAAACCAATGATTCCTGGTCATTGAGCCATAGCAGCTCAAGCAGTGTCAAGCTCTGGCCTGCATTAGACCTTGCAAACTAAGCATGGGCAACCTTTGGCCCTCCAGGTGTTTTGGACTTCAACTCCCACAATTTCTAACAGAGGCTGTTAGGAATTGTGGGAGTTGAAGTCATTAGACTTGAAGTCCAAAACACCTGGAGGACCAAAGGTTACTGTTAGGAATTGTGGGAGTTGAAGTCCAAAACACCTGGAGGGACAAAGGTTGCTCACGCCTAGTGTAAACATACAAAACCAATGATTGCAGGGCATTGAGCCATAGCAGCTCAAGCGGTGTCACAGTGCAGATGCGCCCAGGGAGAAGGTTGGGGTTCGCTCTGTCTCCTCTGCTCACCCCACTCGAGGAAGTCGGAGACGAGCCTGTCCCTCCGGAGCGGCGAGTCGCGGCTGCATTCGGTGTAAAGGCCCACCAAGAGGTCCAGCAAGGCCTCCACGCTGAGGACACTCTCGTGGCGCCTCGGCCCGTCCAGCAGCAGCTGCTCCAGCTTCTTCAGGCGCACCTTGGCCGACATGGCGGCGGCGGCGGAGGAGGAGGCAGGCGTCTACCTCAGGCCAAGGGCGAGAGGAAAGGCCTGAGGAGGAGGAGGAAAGAGAGAGAGAGACAGGGAAAGAGGGAGGAGGTGGCGGCGCCTCAAGGCCTGGGCTTCTTCATCCGCTCCTTCATCCGCCTCCGAGCTACACCGCCTGCCTTCCGAGAGGCCTCCCCGAGAAGGAGAGGAAGCGGCGGCTCCTCCGCTCGGGGCCCGGCTGGTCCATGGGCCGCCCTCTCCGGACCCGCCCTCTCGCTCGCTTCGCCTGGCAACCGCTGAGGAGAAAGCGGAGCCTCCCAATCCTCCTCGCCGCCTCTGAGGGGATGAATTTGGACCCCGCCGCTTGCCGTAGTTGCAAGCAGCACAGGCTTCAGATGCCTGGGACGAGTTGGACCCACCCGCTTGCCGTAGTTCCTAGAGGGCTATGGCTACGACCATCCGGGCAATAGGGAGCTGGGAGAGAGGGAGTGGAAGCGGGGAAAAAAAGGCTCTTGGAAACGCCGTCGGCTGATTCGCGACTTGCGCAACTCAGCGAAGAGGGGAGAGAATTCCCTCCTCCCTCTGATTCCATCCGAATGGAATCTTGGAAGGAAAAGCGAGCTTTGCGATTGCGGTCAACACTTTCGTGGCTTCCACGCCCCAAATCCAATCCGTCCGACTTGTGTCTGGGGAAATGCAAATTGAGGCCCCGTCTGCACTGCCAATAGGAACTCCAGCTTTGCACTGGCTATCAATATAGACACATATAATCCAGTTCATATCTTATTATCCAGTTCAAACCCAGTTTGGGCGACTAAAATGATCAAGGGTCTGGAGAACAAGTCCTATGAGGAGCGGCGTAAGGAGCTGGTCATGTTTAGCCTGAAGAAGAGAAGGCTGAGAGGAGAAGTCATGCTACCCCTTTATTCTGCTTTGGTTAGACCACACCTGGAATATTGTGTCCAATTCTGGGCACCACAATTCAAGAGAGATATTGACAAGCTGGAATGTGTCCAGAGGAGGGCGACTAAAATGATCAAGGGTCTGGAGAACAAGCCCTATGAGGAGCGGCTTAAGGAGCTGGTCATGTTTAGCCTGAAGAAGAGAAGGCTGAGAGGGGATATGATAGCCATGTATAAATATGTGAGAGGAAGCCACAGGGAGGAGGGAGCAAGCTTGTTTTCTGCTTCCCTGGAGACTAGGACGCAATGGAACAATGGCTTCAAACTACAAGAGAGGAGATTCCATCTGAACACGATAGATAGAAGATATAGGATCTGGCTACCAGTATTAAAAAAACTAAAATTACAACAGCACAACAACAGCGAGGAAACAAACAAGGACATCTAATCACCTCTCAACAAAAGTTTGCTCCAGGCACTGTCAGGCCATTATATGCTAATCAAGGTGGTCAGTTGAAACATTCACACTTAGCTCCAGCAGACAAGAGTCCTTTGTCCCACCCTGGTCATTCCACAGATATATAAACCCTTTTTCCTAGTTCCAACAGACCTCACTACCTCTGAGGATGCTTGCCATAGATGCAGGCGAAACGTCAGGAGAGAATGCCTCTAGACCATGGCCATATAACCCGAAAAAACTACAACAACCTAGATATAGAAGATAGATAAGATTACATGCAAAATATAGAATCATAGAATCAAAGAGTTGGAAGAGACCTCTGGGCCATCCAGTCCAACCCCATTCTGCCAAGAAGCAGGAATATTGCATTCAAATCACCCCTGACAGATGGCCAGCCAGCCCCTGTTTAAAAGCTTCCAAAGAAGGAGCCTCCACCACACTCCAGGGCAGAGAGTTCCACTGCTGAACGGCTCTCACAGTCAGGAAGTTCTTCCTCATGTTCAGATGGAATCTCCTCTCTTGTAGTTTGAAGCCATTGTTTTCCTAGTCTCCAGGGAAGCAGAAAACAAGCTTGCTCCCTCCTCCCTGTGGCTCCCTGTGGCTTCCTTTCACATGGCTATCATATCTCCTCTCAGCCTTCTCTTCTTCAGGCTAAACATGCCCAGCTCCTTAAGCCGCTCCTCATAGGGCTTGTTCTCCAGACCCTTGATCATTTTAGTCGCCCTCCTCTGGACACATTCCAGCTTGACAATATCTCTCTTGAATTGTGGTGCCCAGAATTGGACACAATATTCCAGGCGTGGTCTAACACTGCCAATAGAAACTCCAGCTTTGAACTGGCTATCAATGTAGACACATATAATCCAGTTCATATCTTATAATCCAGTTCAAACCCAGTTCATATAATAATTGTATATTATATATTGCATGTAATCTTATCTATCTTCTATATCTGGGTTGTTGTAGGGTTTTTCGGGCTGTATGGCTCCTGACGTTTCGCCTGCATCTATGGCAAGCATCCTCAGAGGTAGTGAGGTCGGTTGGAACTAGGAAAAAGGGTTTATATATCTGTGGAATGACCAGGGTGGGACAAAGGACTCTTGTCTGCTGGAGCTAAGTGTGAATGTTTCAACTGACAGAGGCATACTCTACTGACGTTTCGCCTGCATCTATGGCAAGCATCCTCAGAGGTAGTGAGGTCTGTTGGAACTAGGAAAAGCGGTTTATATATCTGTGGAATGACCAGGGTGGGGCAAAGGACTCTTGTCTGCTGGAGCTAGGTGTGAATGTTTCAACTGACCGAGGCATTCTCTCCTGACGTTTCGCCTGCATCTATGGCAAGCATCCTCAGAGGTAGTGAGGTCGGTTGGAACTAGGAAAAGGTTTATATATCTGTGGAATGACCAGGGTGGGACAAAGGACTCTTGTCTGCTGGAGCTAAGTGTGAATGTTTCAACTGACCGAGGCATTCTATACTGACGTTTCGCCTGCATCTATGGCAAGCATCCTCAGAGTTAGTGAGGTCTGTTGGAACTAGGAAAAAGGGTTTATATATCTGTGGAATGACCAGGGTCGGACAAAGGACTCTTGTCTGCTGGAGCTTAGTGTGAATGTTTCAACTGACCGAGGCATTCTCTCCTGACCTTTCGCCTGCATCTATGGCAAGCATCCTCAGATGTAGTGAGGTCTGTTGGAACTAGGAAAAAGGGTTTATATATCTGTGGAATGACCAGGGTGGGACAAAGGACTCTTGTCTGCTGGAGCTAGGTGTGAATGTTTCAACTGACCACCTTGATTAGCATATAATGGCCTGACAGTGCCTGGAGCAAACTTTTGTTGAGAGGTGATTAGATGTCCTTGTTTGTTTCCTCTCTGTTGTTGTGCTGTTGTAATTTTAGAGTTTTTTTAATAGTGGTAGCCAGATTCTATATCTTCTATCTATCTATCTATCTATCTATCTATCTATCTATCTATCTATCTATCTAAATAAATAAATAAATAAATAAATAAATAAATAAAAATGTAATGTTCGTTTGTGGGATTAACAGAACTCAAAAACCACTGGACGAATTGACACCAAATTTGGACCCAAGACACCTAACAACCCAATGTATGTCCTTCACTCAAAAAATTGATTTTGTCATTTGGGAGTTGTAGTTGCTGGGATTTATAGTTCACCTACAATCAAAGAGCATTCTGAACCCCACCAACGATGGTATTGAACCAAACTTGGCACACAGTTCTCCCATGACCAACAGAAAATACTGGAAGGGTTTGGTGGGCAGTGTCCTTTGGTTTTGGAGTTGTAGTTCACCTACATCCAGAGAGCACTGTGGACTCAAACAATGTTGGATCTGGACCAAACTCTACACGAATACTCAATATGCCCACATGTGAACACTGGTAGAGTTTGGGGAAAATAGAATCTTGACATTTGGAAGTTGTGGTTGCTGGGATTTATAGTTCACCTACAATCACAGAGCATTCTGAATCTCACCAACAATAGAATTGGGCCAAACCTCCCACACAGAACCCCCATGTGGGCCACAGCAACGTGTGGCAGGGGACGGTTAGTCTATAGAAATAAAAATTGAATGTTCATTTGTGGGGTTAACAGAATTCAAAAACCACTGGACGAATTGACACCAAATTTGAACACAATACATGTATCAGGCCAACAAATGACCATCACTCATAAAACACTGAAAAACACAATGGAAGAGACTTAAAAACCCAAAAAACAAAAATACATTACAACGCATGCACAAAACCACATATATACACAAACACACATATATATACTTATACACAAATATATATACACACACATATACGCATACACACACACATATACACATATTTACACCCACAAAACACATCTACACAGACTGGGCCAAAGCAATATATGGCAGGGGACATCTAGTCTATATAAATAAAAATGTAATGTTCGATTGTAGGATTAACAGAACTCAAAAACCACTGGTCGAATTGACCCCAAATTTGGACACAATACACCCATCAGGCCAACGAGTGACCATCACTCATAAAAACACTGAAAAACACAGTGGATGAGACTTAAAAAGACAAAAAATAAAATAAAAAATACATTACAACACATGCGCAAAACCACATATATACACATACACACGCACGCACACATACAAAACAATATACACAGACTGGGCCACAACAAGGCGTGGCAGGGAACATCTAGTCTATATAAATAAAAATGTAATGTTCGTTTGGGATTAACTTAACTCAAAACCCACTGCATGAATTGACCCCAAATTTGGACACAAGACATCTCTCAGGCCAACGAGTGATCATCACTCATATAAACCCTGAAAAACACAGCAGAAGAGACTTAAAAAGCAAAAAAAAAACCCATTACAATGCATGCGCAAAAACACACACACATATACATGCATACACATATACACAAATATATACACACACAAAACACATAAACACAGGCTGGGCCACAGCAACCTGTGGCAGGGGACGGCTAGTTACTAATAATATTGTAGTACAATGCAGTAGTGTATAATACTAATATTCTGCTATGCTAATAATATAATATTCTAGCCATCCCCTGCCAGGCGTTGCTGTGGCCCAGTCTGGGGATCTGGAAAATAAAGTAATGAGAAAGTGTTGATTTCTAATATATGTAACTTCTTTATGTTTGTGGGTAAACAGTATTTCTTGTTGTTTCTTTGCCAGTGTTGATGTGGAGATTGTCTGGTTTGCCTACTCTGGAACATAAAACATATGATTGTCCTTCTTTAGGGGTCCCTTTTAAATCTATGATACTATATCTGTCATATACATATGTATGTGTGTGTGTGTGTGTTAATCATATATATCTATATCTATGTGTGTATATATATTTGTGTATATGTGTATTTATGTGGTTATGTGCATATGTTGTAATGAATTTTTAATTTTTTCACTTTTTAAGTCTCTTCCGCTGTGCTTTTCAGTGTTTTTATGAGTGATGGTCACTTGTTAGCCTGATAGGTGTATTGTGCCCAAATTTGGCGTCAATTCGCTTCGTGGTTTTTGAGTTATGTTAGTCCCACAAATTAACATTACATTTTTATTTATATAGAAGAAGAAGATTGTATATACATATAATATTGATATAATGTTATAATAATATTATAATGTAATACAATATAATGCTACTAATAATTAAAGGCAACAG